TTCAGATCGTGTTTAGCTTGTGACTTCAGTCACTTTGCATGGTGCAAACAGGTTTTCCCTGAGCTCACTGCAGCCTTCTTAATTTCTTGATAGTCCTGATGACAATTATTTAGGGTTGCAACAGGATCTTCAACCCTTGCTCAGACCCAGCTCTATCACTAGGATTCAGATTCTGCCAAGATGCAAAATGACCTTTTATAAAATGATGAAAGGGATAAAGTCCTCAAACGGACCCAGCATTATTATTAGAAGGTTTTGTTTATTAGAAGAAGATAAAGTCCTCTTCAGGATCTCCACAAGCTGACATGGAGCCTTCTCAACAAGGCAGTGGAAAATAGAGAGGATGAGGCTCTGCGTCCCACCCTACCTGGAGCATCCTGCACTGAAGTACAACCAGGATCCTCCATCCACCAGGAGAGGGAGAATCACTGGGCAGGCAGCCAGGGTAAAGAAAGGGCACCTCAGAGGTCTGCCCCTACTCCCCAGGCTGTCTCTGTGTTTTTCACACGTGGATTTGGTTGGGTTGGATAGAGGCTTCCCTGCTGGGAACACTACCCCCAAAAGCAGCAGCCCTGTTCAGGAACAAGCCAGGTCTTCATTGTCCTCTCCCTGTGAGGGCTCTGGGGTCCCAGATGCTCCAGCATGGCAGGGGGGTGCTGGATCCCAGCACAAATACTGTGGGTGGTGTCAGTGCCCTCCACACCAACACCATCCAAAGGGTGGATGTCCCCAAGGTGGGTGTCACAGCCTCCTCCTTTGGAAAGGACACCAAGCTTTGCCAGGAAGTGTGGAGCTGGATGCCCAGGAGAGGTGCCCAGAGGGCTGATTTTGACTGAATAGGAAGAAATCCTCTTTGAAACAAGAACATGTTTTACTGTTTTACTGTGCCACAGGTCCTACAAGTATTGTTATTCCTGTTCTTTGGTACTGCCCTATTCTCTTACACTGAGATGTCAGGTTAAAGTGCTGGTGCATCACTCTGTGTTGCTGTTCCTGATCTTTTACTCCTGTTTTCTATTTCTGGACCTTGGACACATCTTTCTGTGTTTCCTGAGCTCTTCAAGTGTCCACCACTCAATACTGCCCTCCACACATTCTAGCATTTATGCTCCTGTATAGTAACTGTTACAAACCCCAGCCCAAAAATGCTCCCTCTCTCGAAGTGTTGTTGCATATTCACGTACATGAAAGCAAGACTTAACTTCTTCCATTCTTTACTCACTCTCTAAGTAAGACCTCACAGCCCATCAGAAGAGCCTGATGCTCCAGCACGTACAAAATTTCCAGCCAAGGAGCTATTCTGGGGACTCCCTGCCTAGTTCTGTTCATCCCAGTGCAAAGAAATGGGGGAAACTGTGGCTGCACTCAGGACACGTCCCTTGCAAGGGCTTATTTGCATGGCAATGAGGATGGTAATGAGCCCCTTGTCTTCAGATGTACACGAGGTTCTAGCGAGTGAAAAACCGGCCAAAGTTGAAATTCAGAGGATTCATGGCTTCTCTTTCTTTTCAATTTGTGTTTTGTATCTGGATGCAAAAGACAAAGCACGTAGTACAGAGACTGAATTGTGCAATGAACCGCTAAACTCTGGATATAAGTTGTTATTTTAACAAACCAACAGGCTGTTTAAGCAAGCACCAATCTCTTAAGTTGCCTGGCTCAAGCAGTAATTACTAGTTGAATTTTAAAAGAGACCCTTCTTTTATTTGCTTTGTTACCATAGCTTTTTGTTTTCTTTTCCTCTCTCTTGAAGCTAAAAAAAGTGCTGCATAAAGCTGCAGCTCCTCTGAGAACCCAGTGTGCTGCTAACAGGGTTCACAGCAACACTGTGAAAGAGTTCAGGGAAATTAGCCCCTTTCTCCGGTGGGGAAACTGAGGCATGAAACCTCTCCATGACAAGGGAATGAGCAGGATTACCTCTTTAGTGAAGTCCTTCACCTGCCTTGCTCCCAAACACACGGAGCTATGGCAGGATCAAGTTGGGACAATGTGATGTTGAAGGGCTGAGAGCCAGGGATTACCTTGCAGAGAGATCAGGGCTCTGGGTAGAGGCTGGTCCCCAGGTGGAATCAAAACATCATGGAATTATAGAACTGTTTCGGTTGGAAGGGGCTTAAAGATCACCTAGTTCCAACCCCCTGCCACAGGCAGGGACACCTTCCACTATCCCAAGTTGCTCCAAGCCTCATCCAACCTGGCCTTGGATGCTTCCAGGGATCCAGGGGCAGCCACAGTTTCTCTGGGCAACCTGTGCCAGGGCCTCAGCACCCCCACAGGGAAGAATTTCTCCCCAATATCCCATCCAACCCTGCCTTCTGACAGTATGAAGCCATTTCCCTTTGTCCAGGCCTTTATCCAAAGTCCCTCTCCAGCTCTCCTGGAGCCCCTTTAGGCACTGGAAGGAGCTCTAAGGTCTTCTCTTCTCCAGGCTGAACAGCCCCACCTCTGTCAGCCTGTCTTCGTAGGGAATGGATAGGGTGTGGGTCTGGGCAGGAAAACAAACCCATCCACTGTTGCCAAGACCTGAGACTGAGGAGAGGGATTGATGCTGTTCTTGGAAAGCCATGGCTGAAACACATTGCCTGAAGCATCAATGGTTCCTGAGGGTCCACAGTGGTGGGATGGGGGCAGGGTGAGAGTGGGGGATGGTTCAAAGCCATGGTCAGATGGAAAATGGAGGAGATGCTTCATGCAGTGCAAAGGGGGGCTGGTCCCAGCACCCCTGGGGGGTTTAGAAGCCCCTGGCTGTCACTCAGGAGGCAGTTTCTGCTGGGGTTAGAATCAGATGTGGTGATTCAAGCAGCATAGAGCCAACTCATAAATCTCACCACTCTCCCCGAAAGAACAAACTCCTTTAATCCAAACCAACCAAGGTGGGGTCATTGCCTCCACAAAAGCTAACCCTGGTGTAAGGGAGATGGCGGGAAAGGGGGAGAGAGACTATTTACTAGAGCATGTAGTACAGGACAAGGGGGTTCAGACTGCCATAGGGCAGGGTTAGATGGGATATTGGGAAGAAATTCTTCCCTGTGAGGGTGGGGAGGCCCTGGCACAGGTTGCCCAGAGAAGTTGTGGCTGCCCCATCCCTGGAAGTGTCCAAGGCCAGGTTGGACAGGGCTTGGAGCAAGTGGGGATAGTGGAAGGTGTCCCTGCCCAAGACAGGGGATTGGAATGAGATGATCTTTAATGTCCCTTCCAACCCACACCATTCTGTGGCTCTGTGATTATTGCTCCGTTCAAACCCACTGACTACACCACCAGCAGCTGCATGTTAAGCTGCAAATGCCATTGATTTCCATGAAGCCCCTGGGTATTCCCAGCACAGAGATGTCATTCCTGCTTCCTGTCCTTTTTCAGTGCCTCCTTCAGCACATATTGACAGCCAGCATGGACTCCAACCTGGCTTGGATTGGCCTTCAGCAGATGGTTAAGCTGCATGGCCACATCTGTGCTTTCCCTGCCCAACCATCATAAAACGCTGGGATCTGTCTGTCTCCTCTCATGTCCCCATGATGGAATAGCCCACATACCTAATGTTAAGTCTGGCTGTAATTTCTCCACTTTTTAGGGATGGGTGTAAGGAAGTTTTACTGGAACCAGCACTCTTGAGTTTCCTGGATGATGGTTTTCCTCCAGCAAAACAGCCTGGGGAGCTTTAATGCAGCACCAGTCACGAATTTCTGGCTCCTGGCACCTGTTTTACTGTTTTGACACCAGGCTTTTTAGCTCGGGGAAAATAATAATGATATCCGGAGTTAATGTTATTTACTAAAATACAAATTAATGCTCGGTCACATGGCACAATTTGTCATCCAGAGCTAAAATTAAAAGAAATTAAGGCTGACTCAGAAAGTTATTTCAGATCTGAGGGGGGAATGCTAAGTGTTGAGGCCACGCGGGAGCAACAGTGACATCTTCTGGCTCCGTAAAAAAATCTCCAGCTTTTTCACCAGGAAAACCACAGGGAAACTCCACAAAAACTTAATAGGGGTTGGGTGGACAAAAGAGTTTTCAAGTGGGAGGGACAGGCTTTGTGGCAGTGGATATTATCTGAGCCACCTTAGCATGACTGAAAATTTGAAGAGAGGGTGTGTGACACTGATGATCCAAAATGCCTGAGCAGCAGAGTTGAAGGGGTGTTGCTCTTCTCTCAGCGCAGGGGACAGGGCTGTATCCACACTTTTAGGCTGCAGGGGAAGTGAAATATGTAGGAAGAGGCAGGCACCAAGAACTGATCCATGCAGACCAAACAGTTTTTCCTGTCTGACGTGGAATAGGACAGGGCCTGGCTGCCTTGTGTTGACAAACCACGACACTGAAGCTGTTCCCCAAAATGACAGCCCAGCCTCCCTGTGAGCTGTGTGTGTTTGCACAATGACTCACAGCTGATCTGGGGGTGCTGGTTCAGCTGCTGGGAGAACTTCTGCAGTGGGGGCTAGGAGAGTCCTGCCAAAAATACACTATTATCCATCACACTCTCAGGCACAGGGTGTGACTCTTGGGGATGTCCTGTGCAGGGCTTAGAGTTGGACTCGATGATCCTTGTGGGTCCCTTCCAGCTCAGCATATTCTGGGATTCTGTGATCATCATCACTGAAGGGTTGATGCCTTCCAATCCTGCACAGGCTAGATCTTCCCTCTGGTGGTAATGGCATTTCAAGTCAAGGACCTAATAGCAGAATTGTAGAATCACATAATGGGTTGGGTTGGAAGAGACCTTAAAAGTCATCCAGTTCCAATTCCTGGCCATGGGCAGGGACACCTTCCACTAGCCCAGGCTGCTCCAAGCCCTGGCCAACCTGGCCTTGAACACTTCCAGGGATGGGGCAGCCACAGCTTCTCTGAGAAAATGTGTTCCAGTGTCTCTCCACCCATCACACCTTCAGTCTTTTCTACACGTCTCTACCTCTCCCAGGTTGGACTGACCACCGTCCTCGCTCCCCCGTGCTCCCATCCCCCTCCTCTTCCTCTAAACCACGTTTCTTTTAATCTCTCCCAAGGTTCTTTCTTCCCGTCTCTGAAGCCCTCCGAAATTGTCTTCAAGATCATCTTCTGGCTGGGGTACTTCAACAGCTGCGTGAACCCCATCATCTACCCCTGCTCCAGCAAGGAGTTCAAGCGCGCGTTCATCCGGCTGCTCAAGTGCCAGTGCCACCGCAGGAGACGGCCCATCTGGAGAGTCTACGACCACCACTGGAGAGGGGCCTCTGCCAACAGCTCGGTGCAGGACTCTGAGACAGACCTGAGGCCCAGGATTAACACCCTGAACAGCTCCTTCATATTTAACTCCTCCTTCCAGGAGAGAGCCAGTAAGAGGCGAACGCTCAGCTTCAAGGGCTGGAAGATGCTCACTCCTTTCCAGAAACCAGCGTCCACCCAGCTGAAGGAGAAGATGAACAGCCTTTCTAACAAAATCCGGGGTGGCTCCAGCAAAGGGGGGGTGACAGCCACCTACAAAACAGAGGTGGAGTCTGTCTCTATTGGGATCCCTCACGATTTCACGGAAACCATTGACTATCAAACTCATGACTTAACAGACTGCTGTGGGCTGAGAGAAACAGATATTTGAACCCTCTGGAACAGCTGTCGATGGTTTCTTTAGAGGTATCCAGCAGAAATGTGGAGGGATACCACCTGTGGGTCTGTCAGGCAGACTGGAAGCAGCAATCAGGTATAAAATGCAGTTGCCCAAAGGTTATCCAAAAATCCCCCACGTGGCGCTCAGCCCCTTCTGTGGGATTATGGGTTCCTCAAATAAGAGCCAATGGCATATCCCATTTTAGCAAGCCTCAGCAGGAGGGGAAGATGTGGGGTGGATATGGCCTTAGGAGAAGAACTGTCTCCCTCCAGGGGATGGTTGTCTTTGACTTTGGAAGAAGCTGTGCAATTAAGGGAAACCAGGATGTCTCCTTTGCCTTAAAAACACCACCGTGAAATCTGATGGAAAGATCAAACCCCAAAAGATGCCAACCCTGCCTTAGTACATGTGATCATGTTTCCATCCAGGAAGGACACTGCCAAGCAGCAGCTTGCAGCTGACCCTTTAGATGATGGGTTGGGAGCTTGTAGGTCTGCAGGGCTGGACAGGACCTCCAGCCAAGCCCTTGGCTCTGGAGGTTGAGCAGACTGGGGTATTTCCAAGCAGGGTGGGGGGATCCTGGCTCTCAGCCATCATCTCTGCAGTGACCACAGCTTTGCCCCTTCCACATAACCTGGTTTTAGGCTGGAGGAGGAGACCAGATGTCTACACAGGGTGTGCAGGTCTCTCTCCTCTAATTCCAGCCTGTGAAGCATTTCCCATTTCACTTTCCAGTGAAACACTTGCAATCCACCTTGCTTTAGTGCTCATCCATCTGTGATACAGAGAGTAACCGGCTCCTTTTGGTGTCAGTCATCCCCAACCTTTTCTGTCCCCTTCTTGCTCTAGTTGTTTCTCTGAAAAAAACACGGGATAAAAATACATCCCGGGGTATTCACTCAGGACGAGAGGAAATGGCCTCAAGGTGTGCCAGGGGAAGTTTAGGTTGGATATTAGGAAAAATTTCTTCGCTGAAAGGGTGGTCAGGCATTGGAACAGAGAAGTGGTGGAGTCACCCCCCCTGGAAGTGTCCAAATATGTGTGGATGTGGCACCTGGTGACATGTGCCATGTAGTGAACATGGTTAGTGGTTGGACTCGATGATCCAAGAGGTCTTCTCCAACCATAATGATTCTGTGATGCAAGTCCTCAACCATCCTGCTCTGTGGCTCAGGAAAGGTGGGATGGCTGAGTTTGGAAGTTTGCATTTCCACTGCCCATTGAGTCAAAGCTAAAATGGAACTGATGTGCAGATGGATCTCCTCCCCAGTCAGGGTCACGCTCCTGACTCTTCTCCCAAGGGACTTCCCAAAAACCTGATACATCAAACCTTTGGTTTTGCCTTGGGTGTGTCCGCTAACGTGGTCAAAAGCAACGACAGTAAGGGTTGGTTTTCCCTGCTCACAGCCCCAGAGTGTGAGCACCCCTCAGGAGGGCACCACGGTCTCCTCCGGGAAACTCAGGGAGTTGGGGCCATGACAGGCCCACCTCGGCCAGGTGACTCAGAAAGTGGTCACCCAAACTCTACTTGGCCCTGTGTTGCAGGCACTGGTTTCAAAATTCAGGCTGGTTTTATCAAACTTCAGATGACGATCATCAGGTTAAGGCGTGGGCAGGAGACACGTAGGTGATGGAGGTGAAGTCTGGATCTGAGCTGCAGCAGCTCAAGCCAGGTGACTAAAGAACAGGAATGTGAAGTCAGAAGGTGGAAACATGGCAATGAATGTGTTCCTGGGTGGAAGCTCATCCACATCAGCACTGTCCCCCCAACCCATGAGGAGTCTTTCATGAATGTGCCTACAGCACATGCAGCTGATCAAGGGTGGCTGCCAAAGGAAGATGAAAGGCTCCTCGGCACATTAGAGAGAATGTCACCTTTCTTTCTGCTGTTTATTTGCTTCAAAGTAAAACAAAAGAGAGAGAAAGCTGGAGTTTTTTATTTTTTAGTCTTTTGAGCAGTGCATATTGAGACAAGGTATCTGGAGCTGGCCCCATCTCAACAACCCTTAGTACCCTTTACTTGATGCAGGACTCCAAACTGGACCAATTATTGCACAAATATCAGGAGATTTTGTCCAAATATTTTCCTCCCAGCAGCAAACCCCACCAAGGCACATGGAGCAGCATTGCATTTACACTGAACTCAGACTCATCATGTTCTCCAGCATCTGCAAAACCACCCAGAGGTTCCAGCTGGGGAGGTTCAACCCCACAAAAGCAGGGACCCAACACCCCGTGGGAATTTTTGTGGGGAAATACATCTTTTTTTTCCCCCTATATCTTTGGCTTTTCGGGGAAGTGAGACCCTGCAGTGATGATGGGGTGACATGAAAAGTCATTTTGCATTGTAAGGACTGCAGGTGCCACTGGTTTCCAGGGAGCTTTGGAGATCTTGATGGGAGGCACTGGAGATGTAGCAAAGAAGGGACCAGGGAGGGGGCAGTCCATGAGTGCATCCATGACCAGAGAGATACATGTACACACTTTACTGTATTTATATACATGGATCATCTCCAAAATACAAGGCATTCTCCTACAAAGGGGCCAACATCCTCCTATAAATGAAGATTCAGTAAATGTTGGCAAGCATTCCCATAAATGAGTTGGTATTATTGCTTACACTTCTCCCTGACTTTTTTATCTACTCCTTTTTTTTTTTTCCTCCAGTTTTGAAACATTTACATTTACAGCCTCCAGCCCCTTGAAAGCATTTCCCCAGAAAGGGAATTTCTTCCCCAGAAGGGAAAGAAAGATTAGTCTGGAGGTTTGCTGCCTCTCCATCCCAATTCTTTACACACCTACAAGGGAGAAAACAAGGATAAATATTTAAGCACACATGAACACACATGTAAATGCCCAAACTCTGGCTCAGTTACTTACTGAGTTTCATCTGGCCCCAAGAGATGCCCTAGACGGTGCTGTAGGGAAGCTTTGAGCTCTGCTGTGCTGCATTCAGGCAAAATACTTGTTTCTCACCTAAGCCAGAACCCTCTCTTTCATTTGGCCTCTTGCAGCAGAAGCAGTGCCAGGACTGGACTCTGAGGCTGCTCCTGGAGGGATTTGCTGGGAGCAGACAGGGCTATCATTGCTGGCAGGGGGAGGAACAACAATGTCATGTAAAATATGACCCAGGTCTGTAAAAGTGAGCGTTTCTCTTTGAATCCCTTACTTTTCCAAACTCTCCCAAGTTTGGAAACACGGGCTCAGACCTTCAGGAGGTAAATTCGGTCTGATCCCACGGATTTCTCTGGACCCACAAGGGTGTGACCAGCTGAGGGAATGGCCCTGTTTCTCCAAGTTTGCCACACAGGCCGTTCCCCAAAGCACCTGCACCTTGCTTTTGCAGCAGATCTCACCTCATTGCACTGGCTCCATGTCACTATTGCGTTGTCAGACCTTGCTGCTTCAAGGAACTAGTTGTTGATGAGTTTTGGTGTCACTGGACTCCCCTGAGTCCACGAGGGAAGGAAGGTCCCTGTCAGCCTGAGCTGGACTGCAGTTGGGTTGCATTACTATTGTTTACAGCGTGTATATAAGTGTACATTTTCTTTAGCAGACATTGGAATTTTTTATGTATAGATTTTTATTTTTCATCCCCAGACGTATTTATTAGCCAGAGTATTTCTGTTTTGTGTTCCGAGTTCTGTCAGATCGGTGTAAGCTCTATGGAACAGAATGCACATATTTTTGTTTGTTTGTACCAAATACATGCACAAACCTGTCTAAAATGTTGCTGTGAATTGTTGCTGTGTCTGATTTTTAAAACAAGGGCTGTAGGGGCTGAGGAAGGGAGGGAGGGAGGGAGAAAGAAACACCTGAAATTTATCCGCTCGTGGTTATTTCTCAAAGACTTTTTTTGCAATTTCACAAGGATAATCTTTCCCACATGCAAGAATTTGTGATAAAAGCAAGTCAGGGCAGGACAATCTCAGGGATGAAGGGGTTGTACCTGCCACATCTAGAGAGTAGGTTTAGATTAGATATTAGGAAGAAAATCTTCCCTGTGAGATTGGTGAGACCCTGGCACAGGTTGCCCAGAGAAGACGTGGATTTCCCATCCCTGGAAGTGTTCAAGGCCAGGTTGGATGGGGCTTGGAGTAACCTGGTTTAGTAGAAGGTGTCCCAGGGAGGTCTTTAAAGTCCTTTCCAACCCAAACCATTCTGTGATTCTTATGTATATATATATATATCTCTATCTCATATATATATATGTGTGTATGTGTGTATATATGTGTGTATATATATACACACATATATATACACATATATATAAATATATTTTTATATAAAAATTTAAATATATAAATATATATTTATAAATATATATAAGTATATGTATGTGATACATATCTGAGACAGGACAGGGAAGGGCGAAAGGGAAAGGCAGAAGGAAAAACCAAAAGGAGATACAACATGAAAACACTGGATCAGTATTTGATAGCAGTCAGAGGTGAAAAATACATCAGGGAATTTGGGGACAGAGAATGGAAGAGATGGAGAATGACTTTGAAAATACCTTTGCAGCTCTGAATACGTTGATGATGCACTTTTAATTTGACTACTGTTTGCTTTTGATTAGTCCAGCTCTAGAAAGACAGAAGGGACCTAGAATGGATACAGGATAGTTTCCATCTAAAGGATAATTAAATCAAGGGGCGCTTTCCTGGAACACAGAGATGACTGAGGAAGAACACAATGGAGCTCTATAAAACCAGGAGTGCTGGGGACAAGATGAATAGTGGATGACTGTTCTCTGTTTCTCATAAAACGACATCAAACCCAATTATCAAAATGAACAAAATGAGGTACATTTTTGAGTGGTGGAGCTCATCACCATGAGATATTGCACCTGCCAGAAGTCTGTAGGGGTTAGAACAGCAACTGAGGGCCTCAGTGACAGGTAAGTCCATCAAGGGCTGTTGGAAACATTTATATAATCTCTGAGCTGAGAAATCCCTGAGGCAGCAATTGCTGTCAGCTGGGAGAATATTTCAAGGGATATTTCACTGTTGGCTTTTTCTTTCCTTCTATTCCTCCCAGTTTCCATCATGAGAGAGGGGATTCAGCTGGAAGGACCCAGGCTCTGTGTGTCCCCTCCATCTGAACTGAGCCCATCCATGCCCCAGTTACATCATTCATTTTCCTGCTCAGAGGCTGAAATGAGAAAATAAACAGAAAATTCAAGATTAGTCTCCAATGCACATTAAACCATCAAGGTCACATGGTTTTGCCATCACTGTGTGCCAGTTCTGCTGGGGAATTTCTGTTACCACTCAGAATTTGAAAACCATGTCCTCAATAAACTGACTTTTACAATCTTTCCACAGGATAGAGATTGTAGCTGGGGCTGGGATGTGCCCAGAGTTTTCCCAATAAACTTCAGCCATCCTGTGCAAAGGCTTCTACCTGTATTTTTTTTTTTTATCCACTTTCAGATATCTGAATGTCCCTCCATGGAGACACAACATCATGGAGAGTGACATTAAGGTCACTGATAATTAGGTTTGCTTTTTCTCAGTCCCATCTGTGGGATTCAGCTCGTGGATTTAAAACATCTCCATTCAAATAAGGTCTGTGTGTGAGTCATGTTTAAACTTCACTAGAGAAAAAAAAAAACACAATAATTTTTGCCTGAATATAGGTGTTCCATTGCATTTGAGCCATCCCAGGCTATCCAAGACATCTGCATGTGGAAACAGGATGGAAAACCTGTTGTGCAAAACTGACTCAGGATCACAGCAGAAGGGCCTGACCTGTGAGCTGGGAACAGAAGTAAATGTTGGGCAAAGAACAGACAGAATGTGAAGGTCTGATCCCTTCTCTTCCCTCAGGAAAAGAGGACACAGGATATTTGCTGAGGTTGAGCTCATCACCAAGAGTCAGGTGAATGCTTGACTTGCAGGGTGGATCCCAGCAGCCAGTCCCTGTGGCTTCCTGGAGATCCATGGAGTCCTGACAAGGCGGTGGAAAGGACACATCAGAGATAGAAAATGACATTGAGGTCCCATGAGACCAGGAAAAGAAAAGGTTTATAGCAAAATGTTCAGTTCCATTCCTAACAAACCAAACTTGCCCAACATTTCTGCGTGCAGTGCTGGTGGATAATGGGTGCCTTGGGGCTTGAGGGCACTGTGTGGGCATCAAAAATAGGCTTTATGCATTTTCTGGCAATGTTATCTTGCGTTTATTATGCCCAGATCTCCAATCTAATGTTTTTACAACACAGCCCCAAGCAGGTCGATTCACACAGTTTGGGGACCGCTGGGCTTTCTTCACTTCTCTCCTTTACCTTCCAAAAGACTGAAGCAAACGAGGGGCTCTGCCCATGATGGTCCAGCTGACCATGGCTCAAAGTCTCACTGAGACCTTAGAGAGAGCATTTGGATTTTCACCAAAAAAAAATAAAATCCGGGCCCAGTCCAGCTCCTGTGCTGAATATTTACTTTTCTTTCCTTCACAGCTGCTGCTTTCTGGATGGAGGAAAAAAAAATAATAATTCCCTAAGGCCTGTAGATGATTCATAAATCTCACTGAAATGTGACCATAATTAAGTAGCAGCACCACTGCTCTGAGATACAGCCTGTTCAAATCCCTCTGCTCTCTCCTGGCAGATCTGTGGCCTCCTTAAAGCCTCACAGAATAACTCATGGATCAGAAATTCGAGTTCAGTCGTGGCAGGAGGGTGTTTTTGGGAAGAGAAGGTCCCAAATCTCCGCCCCTTCAGTGGCCAGGAGGTTCCAGGTGGCATCATTAGGAGAGCAATACCACTGTCTTTCTGCTTGTCAGCAGGGACTTTCCATTTCCAGAGTTTGCAGAAGGTGTTTGAAATGCAGAAAACTGAGAGGAGCACAAGAGAAAACCCCCAAAGCCCCAAACCCAGTATTAACCAACTAGAACATGCAAGGCCAAAGGAAATTTGCATTGAGTTATCCCAAAAACTCTTTCTCATCTACAAGCTGCCTTGACACAGATTGGGATTTCTCAGCAGGTTCTTGGAAGAAGGGAATGCCCTTGGGTAACCCTGTTTTTCTCATAGCAGGGTAGTTTTGTGGGTTTAAAAGGTTTGCTCCCTTGACAGCATAGTTGTTGATCTGTGAGTAAATTGCCATTGTTTTATGCATGTTTATCACCCCAGTGCTCAGCAGATGATTCACAGTGCAAATCCAATTTAACTCTGATCGCTGTGGCACTTCCATTTCTAACCTGTTTTGGGCTTGCAAGCTTCAATGATGCTTCTCAAAGTTTTAGGGTATGTAGGAGGGGGGCTGACAGAGTATAAATATGTTTTTTTATACGTACATATTCATATATATGTATTAATAGATACATCTACACAATCTGTGTAGACATAAAGACATACATATGGATGCAATTTATCCTCCTATCACTTTTTGGTGCTCTTTTTGCAAAAGCACTCTTCTGTCTGTGGTCACCATCATACCCAGACTGTGCCTCATGTCCTCCTCAGACTGCCCAAAAGTCCACACGTTGAGTGCAGCTGCTGCATCATCATGTGGGTGATGCAGAAATCAACAATGAGTTTTCTAATATTCCATTGCTAGAATCAGTGGCCCAGAGAGGAGGTGGATTGTCCCT